TTCCAGTGTTTAACGTATTATTTTTGTCACCTTGCTGCCAGACTTTGACAGTTTTCTCCAGATTTTTCACAGCGTGTCCTGCCACAGCTCCACGTCCACTCAGAGCTTCTCCTATATTTAGCCTCTCTGTTGTGTCCTTGTAGGGAAACATCAGTCAGGGTGTCCAGCAGAGCAGGCGGACAGCTGAGAGGGGATTTGTTGTTGAAAATAAATCCCCACTTTCCTTCTCCCGAGTCTCATTTAGCTGCTAGTAAAACAGATCGCCTTACAAGACGCTAGCTGAGAAACCTGCAGCAGCTCGTAGGCAGTCAGCAATCGTTGTTCTGTTTCTGTGGTTCCTGCTTCAGCTCAGAAAACAGGCTGAAGGCTAGAAGATTATCGACTGATTCAGTGGTTTTAACCTGAAAACTTCAGCACAGTTGTGTTACTGGTATCTTAAACAGACGGAACAATCAGCTGGTGTGATGATATTTGAACCTGTCTCCAACAAAAGAGAATTTATGCTTTTCAGATATTCAAAAATGTTTCACAGTCATTCAAAATGTGTCCAAAGTGACTCGACATTTCTCCAAAGCAGCTTAATTGTGTCCAAAGTGACTTAAAATATTTTCAAAGTGACTCAAAATTTGTCTAAAACAACAGATTTGTCCAAAATGACTTGAAATTTCTTCGTTATGACTGAAAACTTTTCCAAAACAAGTTAAAAATGTCCTAAATTCAAAAAATGTTTCACAAACTGCCTGAAAGTTTGTCAACACTCAACATAAAATGTGCTATATATCAATCCAAAGTTTCACAAATTGACTCAAAATGACACAAATCTTTTTCAAAGACGACTCAAACTTTTCCTGAATGACTCAGAGTCTTTCAGGAGGACTCACAACGTGTCGTGATGTTCAGCTGAAGCTCCACAGAGTCTCTGCTGAAGGTTCAGCTCCGTGTTGTTTAACGTGACATGAGGCTGTTGTGGGAAACGTTTCCTGTTTCCTCGAGAACGCTGCAGCAGAACAATGGACCCGTGAGGGTTCTGGGCTGTTGCTGACATGAGAGCGTACTGAGAGCGTACTGAGAACATACAGAGAGCATACTGAGAACGTACTGAGAACACACAGAGAACATAATGAAAACGTCACAGCTTCTCTGGAAACACAACTCCATTGGAAACAGGTTGAAATATCCTCGGCGGACCTGCAGATCCGACAGCTTTCTGCAGACGTTGCAGGTTTTCAGGCAGAAGTCGGAGCTGCTGTGTTCTGCAGGGCCCGGTTCAGGCCTGAGAAGGTCCTGCTGCTGCAGCACGTGGTCCTCTTCCTGCTCTCACTCATGGTGTTTTGTGGCCCATCTATATATTCTGTTAGAGCCCTGACACACTTCGATGATTTTCGGGGAAAGTTGAGACGTCGCCGCGGAGGGATGACCCCCTTTCCCCTCTGACATATCGCTCAGGTCCAGA